TTCCCATTTTGCTTTCACTGCAGCAGATTCAATTTCACTGTAGAGCAAGAGCTTCATTTCATCTTGAATTTTCGATCTGTTGAACCTTTGCATCCGATCTTCATTCAGGTTGAAACTCATTCTATTTATTTTTTGCTGAGCTTCATTCTATTAATTTCAGCAACTTCATGCTATTATTTTCAACAACTTCATGCTATTTATCTTTACCTGGATCTATGTAGATGGCAAGTATACAAAAGAGAAATCCATTTAGTTTAGATCTATAACATTTCATCTTTTTTTTTGCTTTGTTTTTTGTTTATACAAAGAACAATCCATGCTCTGTTTTTTCCCACATTTGATGTGCAGCAGCACCATCCATTCTTTCCTACAAATTTCATATGCTAAACAAATTTTACTCTATGAAAGTAAAACTTTACTCTGTATGAAAGTAAAAATTTTACATTCTGAAACTAAAAGATAAATTTTACTCTGTATGAAAGTAAAATTTTACATTCTGAAACTAAAAGTAAAATTTTACTCTGCATGAAAAGTAAAACTTTACTCTGTATGAAAGTAAAATTTTACTCTGTATAAAAAGTAAAATTTTACATTCTGAAACTAAAAGTAAAATTTTACTCTGTATTTGAAAGTAAAATTTACTCTGTATAAAAAGTAAAATTTTTACATTCTGAAACTAAAAGTAAAATTTTTACTCTGTATGAAAGTAAAACTTTACTCTGTATGAAGGTAAAATTTTACTCTGTATAAAAGTAAAAATTTTACATTCTGAAACTAAAAGTAAAATTTTACTCTGTATGAAAGTAAAATTTTACTCTGTAAAAAGTAAAATTTTACATTCTAAAAAAACTAAAAAGTAAAATTTTACTCTGTATGAAGATAAAACTTTACTCTGTATGCTACCTTGTCTTGATCTACTAGAATTACGCATGAAGTCAAAAAAAATTTAATATTTGGTGGCATTCATGGTATTAATTATACTTAATAAAGTAAAAAAAAAAATTAAACATCTCAATTACAAATTAAAATAAATTTATGTAATATTATTAATATTATATTATTTAATATTTTAAAAGTTATAGTAAGCAAATTAAATAAAATTTATAATTTAGATATTATATTTTTATTATTTAGTAAATAATTCAAAAGGGCAAAATAGTCTTTGAACATTTATCATTCTCCATAATATCCCAAACAAATATGAGATTCAATAGAATAGTCCAATTCAGACCTCTAATCCCATGACTAAACAAACATAGGATACAAATCTAGTCCGACCAAATAGTCCAGGGACAATGTATCCCAGAACTAACAGTCCGATGGATTACAATCCCTCCTTATCCAGTCCGTCCAAACAAACGCACCCTTAGGGTTTATGTTAATTGGTTATGAAAAGTAATAGGTTTAGGGTTTACAAACATGGAATACGTATAGTTGGAGTTTTGAGTTGGAGTTGGAGGTGGGAGTGGGGGGTGTGGGTGGGTGTCCAATATTATAGAGTATTAGTTATTATTGATAGGTGGGTGTTTCATTTCATAATGTCTTTTAATGTAATTTTACTTTAGGGTATAATTATAATAAAAAAATATTATAAAAATGGGGGTCCAAAGAATTTTGACAGGTGCTAATAGTAGCACTCTATTATTATTGATCTCACTTATTATATAAATATAAATATAAAAATATCTTAAATTATATCACATTATCAATTGATATACTAATTAGTGCATTAATTGATATATATATAGCTTTAGTCTTCGAGAGTATAATCATATGATATTTATAATAATATAATTGATAAAAAATTAAATATAATTATTTATATTAAGTGATTGATAAATATAAAAATATAAAAAATAATAATTAGTGAAAGAGTATTGTATACATTTTTCATATATTATGATCTTATTTGACAATACATATTTTAATTAAAAATTCAAAAATCACTATAAATTATTGTATTACTCTATTTATTTTCTATGTATATTTTCATAAAAATTTAAAATTAGTAAAATAATTTATCGATGGTACTATAATGTACCAATTAGTATACTAACTAGTATATCAATATTAATTATGACATTATTATTGACTACACTCATTATAACAAATACTAATTTTTTTTTAAATTATAACACATCATCAATTAATACACTAATCAATATATTAATTAATACTTATAACATTATTCATAATTTATTCCCAAACACAATCTGGGCTTTTCCCATATTAAGCCTCTTTGTATCTTATTTCCCAAACTAGGCCTATTTTGGACGGATTTTCCAAACTAGGCTAAAGCGCTATTACAAATCGCGCTTTCACTGTTTGGAGCCCAAAATTTGATGAATAGTGAAAGCGCTATTGTAAAACGCGCTCTTAATTAATAAATCGCTGTTTTAAATCGCGCTTTTAACATAAAAATTTTTTTCTAAGAAAATGCTATTTGAAATAGCGCTTTCACCGTGCATATAAATTTTATTTTATTTTATTTTATTTTTTAAAAAACGTATTTCAAATAGCATTTCTACTATTGAACCAACCCACCCTATGACATACGCACACACCCACACAGACCCAACCATACTCTGAAGCATTGAAATAATATAATTTTATATATAATAATATTTATAATAATAAATTAATATATTTTATAATTTTCATAAATATAAATCATTTTTAGGTTATGGATGGTTTGATTTATAACACGTATGTAAGGGTAAAAATTTTTATAATAAAAAATAATTATAAATTATCAAAAATAATTTATAATAACGTATGTATTTACTTTAAATAAATTATATATAATACGTATGTATTATATATATAATTTTTATATATTTACTTTAAATAAATTATTTTTGATACGTATGTATATAATATAATAATACATAATTTTATATATTACTTTTAAATAAATTATTAATAAATATATAATAATTTATTTTATAAAATAAATTATTAATAAAAATTTATAATACGTATGTATTATAAAATTTTTTATAATAATTTATAATACGTAGTATTATTTAAATCTTTACATTTTTATTTTAAAATTTTTTACAGTAAACCTATCTTCACATTTTAATACGTATGTATTATTAAAAAATAATTTATAAAAATTATAATTAATATGTATGTAAATAATTTAATACGTATCTTCACATTTACATTTACAGTTCACATTTACGTACGTATAGTTTAAGGGTAAAAATTTTGATAAATGATAAATCAAACCATCCTTAACCTAAAATTTTTTACCCTTACATACGTATGGTTTAAATAATTTATAAAAATTATTGGCATACGTATGTAAAAATTGATTATAAAAATCAAAATTATTTAAGGGTAAACAATTATTTTGCAATTTTTATAATCAATTTTTACATACATATGGCAATAATTTTTATAAATTATTTAAACCATACGTATGTAAGGGTAAAAAATTTTTGGTTATGGATAGTTTGATTTATCATTTATCAAATTTTTACCCTTAAACTATACGTACGTAAATGTGAACTGTAAATGTAAATTTGAAGATACGTATTAAATTATTTACATACATATTAGTTATAAATTTTTATAAATTATTTTTGAATAATACATACGTATTATAAAATGTGAAGATGGGTTTACTGTAAAAAATTTTAAATAAAAATGTAAAGATTTAAATAATACATACGTATTAATAAATTTTTATTAATAATTTATTTTATAAAAATAATTATAATATTTATTAATAATTTATTTAAAGTAAATATTAAAAATTATTAATTCCAGGATACAAACATAACTTGGCTCTGATACCATATATATAAAATAAATTATATATATAATACATACGTATTATATATATAATACATACGTATCAAAAATAATTTATTTAAAGTAAATATATAAAAATTATATATATATAATACATACGTATTATATATAATTTATTTAAAGTAAATACATACGTATTATAAATTATTTTTGATAATTTATAAATTATTTTTGATTATAAAAATTGCAAAAATTATTTTTGATTATAAAAATTTTTATCCTTACATACGTATTATAAATCAAACTATCCATAACTTAAAAATGATTTATATTTACAAAAATTATAAAAATTATATAATTTATTATTATATATAAAAATTATATTATTTCAATGCTTCAAAGTGTAGGTTGGGTGTGTGTGGGTGTGTGTATGTCAGGGTTGGTTTCAATAGTAGAAATGCTATTTGAAATAACGTTTTCTAAAAATAAATAAATAAATAAATTTATATACACAGTGAAAGCCCTATTTCAAATAGCGTTTTCTTTAGAAAAAAATTTTTATGTTAAAAGTGCGATTTGAAACAGCGATTTATTAATTAAAAGTGCGTTTTACAATAGCGCTTTCACTATTTATCAAATTTTGGACTCCAAACAGTGAAAGTGTGATTTGTAATAGCGCTTTATCCTAATTTAAAAAATCCATCCAAATTAAGGTCAAGTTTGGGAAGACTAAATAAGTGCACTTTTTGACTTTTTATGAAATATGGGTTGGATTTGGGTTGGGTTTGAAGTGATGTGTTAGAGAGGTGATGTGACTTAAATAAGATGATGTGAATTAAATAGGATAGTGACTTTTTGACTTTTTGAATTTTTTGAAGGATGCCAAACTTGGCCTAAACCTAATTTGAGAAATAAGATACAAAAAAGACTTAGGCTTGGTTTGGGAAGTGGGTTGGCTTTTTGGCTTTTAGGCTTTTTTGGCTATTTTAGCCTGGGCTAAAAAGCTTGGTTTGGGAAGGGCTTTTTGGTTTTTTGGTTTTTTTGACTTTTTTTGTGAGAGAAGAGTGTAATGATTATGAGTTGGATGTGATGTTTTATTTTTTGTGGCTAAAATAGCCTATTTTGTCTTTTGTGACTAAAATAGCCAAAAAAGCCTCCAACCCAACTTGCCAAACGGAGCCTTAATATGGGAAAAGCCCAACAAATCCTATATATATAGTATAAGATTCTAATCTAAACCTTGATATATTTCATCACACCCTTTCATTCACTCTCTCTCTCTCTCTCTCTCTCAATTTCTCTGTTGTCTACAATGGCGGAGAAAGTGCTCCTGCTTTGCATTTTCTCCGCACTCTGTTTCACTCTCGTTCTCTCCCGAAGCTTGCCAGTGGATTCCAAAGCTACACTCCTTGATGTCTCAGCTTCGATCCAGAAAACTACAGGTGTGTTCTCCGATTCTGAGTCGTTGCACAAGTACTCGAGCCAACAAGAGAGCGAGTCACTTTCTTCTTCATTCTCTTTCCAACTACATTCCCGATCGTCTCTTCACAGAGCTCAGCACAAGGATTACAAGTTACTGACCTTAGCTCGACTCGAGCGTGACTCAGCCCGTGTGAAATCGCTCCAGACCAGGTTAGATCTGGCGATTCGCGGCATTACTCAGTCGGATCTGAAACCAGTTGATACTGTTGTGTTCGAGGCTGAGGCATTGAAAGGACCGGTGATTTCAGGAACGAGTCAAGGAAGCGGTGAGTACTTCTCCCGAGTCGGAATCGGTCATCCTCCGAGTGATGTCTACATGGTGCTCGACACCGGGAGTGATGTGAACTGGGTGCAATGCGCACCCTGCGCCGATTGTTACCAGCAAGCCGACCCGATCTTCGAGCCGGCTTCGTCCTCCTCCTTCTCGCCTCTCACGTGCAATACTCAACAGTGTAAATCGCTTGACGTGTCGGAGTGCCGGAACGGCACGTGTCTCTACGAGGTGTCTTACGGCGATGGATCGTACACCGTCGGCGATTTCGTGACGGAGACGATCACGTTCGGCGGCTCGGCTTCGGTTAACAACATAGCTATCGGCTGCGGACACAACAACGAAGGCCTGTTCGTTGGAGCCGCTGGCTTGATCGGGCTGGGCGGCGGCCCGCTATCGTTCCCTTCTCAAATCAACGCCTCATCGTTCTCGTATTGCCTCGTAGATCGTGACTCGGACTCGACGTCAACTCTCGAGTTCGACTCAGTAACTCCTCGTAACGCTGTCACCGCTCCGTTACTCCGCAACCAGAAACTCGACACGTTTTTCTATGTCGGCTTAACGGGACTCAGTGTTGCCGGCGAGTTACTGTCACTTCCTCCGTCAACTTTTATGTTAGCCAGTAACGGCGACGGCGGAGTTATCGTGGACTCGGGAACGGCGGTGACTCGGTTGCAGACCGAGGCGTACAACTCTCTCCGCGACGCGTTCGTCAAAGGCACACGGAACTTACCGTCAACTAACGGTGTGGCATTGTTCGACACGTGTTACGATCTATCGAAGATGAAGAGCGTTGAGGTCCCGACGCTGTCGTTTCACTTCTCGAACGGGAAGAACTTGGCGTTACCGGCTAAGAATTACTTGATACCGGTTGACTCCGCCGGGACGTTTTGTTTTGCGTTCGCACCGACGTCGTCTTCGTTGTCAATCATCGGCAACATACAGCAGCAGGGGACACGTGTCGGTTTCGACCTTGCCAACTCTCTTATTGGGTTCTCGCCCAACGAGTGTTAAAAAAACAATTTATGGTTTTTTTGTTTTTTTAAATTTTAGAATGTGGAGTGGATGGGGTATGGGCCCACCTTGAATAAGGGTGAGGTGTGATGGGTTAGGGCCGCCCTTTGGGTGTGTCAGTATTCTAAATTTAAAATTTAGTGTTTTTGTAAAGTAATTAATTGAAGGTTTTAAGGGTAGTAATGGAAGATAGCTGAAAAAGATAATTTTAGCTTTGGTTTTTGTTCATGTGGACGTTAGATTGTTGTAGCCAAAGGGAGGGGTGAGTCAAACGTTTGGGTCAACGTTTGTGGACACGTGGCATGATCAGATGGTTTTGTGGTGGTGATGATGTGAAGTGTTAGGTGATGATTAACGGGAAATCTGCTTTATTCCAGGTTACTTTTCTCGGGGGGAGTGCTTGTTGGTTGGGATTGGGAAACTCGGGAAGTGGGAATCCGGACCCCCACCCCCACCAAAATGCGAAATAATTTTGCTTTTTTAAATGTGACTTTTATGCTGGCAAAGTCCTGTACTTGCTTTTACTTTAATTTATTTTTATATAATTAGCTAAGGACTTGTTGGCTTTGTTCATTCTTGGTTAGATTCATCGGGAAATTATATTGATGGGTGTTGGTAAATTCATATGATATTTAAGTAATCTTTTATTAATTAAAATAGTGATATTTTACTATTTTTGTGTTTATTTTTTTAAAATAAATCAGTGATTTGAGATGTTTTAAATAAATATATTTTTTGATTTTTCATAAAAAAATATATAAAAATGTAGGAAAAATGGATATAAAAATATAAAAGAGATATTAATAGATGTAATTCAAATAAATGTGTATATATGCAAAAAAAGGACATTTTTTTTTAGTACATATCGAACACTTACAAATTAACAATAAGCATGTGAATAGTGAGTAAAATAATTTTACTAAGGTTTATTTTGATAATACAATTAAAAGTTTATTTTTTTTTATTTTTTTTTAATTACATCACTTTTTTATTTTCTATACGTTTTTTTTTATAAGAAAAAATAAAAAATATCAAAAAATTAATTTTTAAAATGCTTCACAAAATATGTCTAATTTATCAACAGTCCACAACAATTGTTTTTTAATCTATAAATCATTCATAAAAACCTAGACACATTAATTTAATTTTAAATATATATTTTCTTGTTTTTGTATAATAAAATTATATGATTATAATTGTCTGATCAATATAATTCTTTTAGAAGATCACCTCAACTTCTCTCATAAAATTTTAAAAAAATATAGGTGTCATTTGGGTAGTAAGTTAGCTTTTTGACTTTTTTTATTATTTTAGTTTAGGTTAAAAAGCTTAGTTTGGGAAGATTTTTTTGGTTTTTTTAGTTTTTTTTTGAGAGAAAAGTGAAATAATTATGGATTGGATGTGATATTTTATTTTTTGTGGCTAAAATAGCCTATTTTATCTTTTATGGCTAAAATAATCAAAAAAAATCCCAAATAACTCTTTCCAAACGGAGCCTAATAAATTTTTATAAATTTGACATAATTATATTAGATTTTTTTTGAAATTTTAATTTATATAAAACTTATTTCATTTTTATCAGTCATATAGGCAAAACAAAATTATATTGTTTTTTTTCATACTAAAATCTATATATTTTACCTTTTTGTTTTTACAAATCTGAATAAGTTTCAATCCGTCTATATAATTGTATTGAAATTATAAAAAATTTCTAGGATATTATTTTTTCTTCATATATGTTCAACATAGATAACAAGATAAATGATTTAGCCGACTGGCGTGGTACTTGCGATGGGTTCCATTGGTTGAACTGTATTGTATAATTTACACTAGGTAGATTGCGGCGTTTTGGAAAATTACTAATAAAAATTGATTTATTGACTTATTTTTTTTTATGAAAGTAAATATTATAAATGCGAGTGCGTCACTAAGGATTGAAAAATCTTTATAGATTAAATTCAAGTTAATTATCAAGTAATTGTGTTGATGGTTTTTTTGTCTCAACGAAGAGGATTTCAAAATTCCCAAGTGTTATAAAAAAGAAAAATTAAAAAAAAAGAGGGAGACGGAGAAAGATGATTAAGTGAACAATCAAAGTAATAATTACTTACTTCTACTCCTATATTTCGAAAAAGAAGTGCATAAAATACTTCGAAAAATAAATACTGAAAATAAATATTTCGAAATATAAATCTATGTTAAACTACTTCTAAGATAAGGAAAATTACAAGAAATATTGAAATCAATTGTTTTTTATTTGAGTTTTGGGTCTTTTACAATGTAGTCATGAATGACTATTTATAGGTAAACATTTGTAGGAAAAAACTACCTAAAACTATCCACTCTTCTACTTCTTCCATTTCATGCTCCATGATTTTCCAAAACTTCCTTCAACTTTCACTTCATACTCCATGTTCTCTACTTTGTTTTCCATCATCTTTTCACATTTTATAACTTTTCATAACCTCAAAATCAGTAGGAGGATACCACATGTCCTGTAATTATATAAATAATAAATAATAAAATTACAGATTTATTATGCCAACATGATTTTTTGACTTTTTTAGTCTATTTTGTCTTTTTGTAGATAAAAAATATAAGAGATAATGTGATCTAAAATGAATAAAAAGTTAAAAATTGACTTTTTTTTTTTTTTGCTTCTCAAAAGACCCCATTGTAGCCAAACAAAATCCTTAGAAGTGAAATAAAACAGATTATGGACAAAGTTTTTGTTTGGCAACTACTTCCTCCCTCCTAAAATATTAGTCTCTTATTTCATTTTTTATTATTCCAAAATATTAGTTTCTTTCAAAAATCAAGTACAAAAATAATATAAATTTTCTATTTTGCTTTTCTTTTAAATTAATAAACAATATAAAAAGTGCAATTATGACATTGATATTCTTAAAAAATACTATCAAAAGGGTAATTTTGAAAAATTAACTTTTTTAAAGTGTAATAATTGTACTATCAAAAAATGTTAGATTTTCAAAAAGGGACCATTATTTTGGGACAGAGAAAGTATTTAAAAAGTTAATTTTTGTTAAAAAAATTAAAATATCACCAAGTCGTTAAAAAATCAATTGTTACCGAGTCCTTTACTTTTTCACTTAGAGAAAATGATTTTTTAGCAAATTTTCAAAACTATTGACTAAAAAAGTCAAAAACTTAAAAAATTTAGGAAAAAATACAAAATAAAAATAAATAAAAATTAGGATTTAATTCTTATAACAAAATAAATTAAGTGCTTGTTTGGCAATGACTTTTTTAGTTAATTTTTTAACTTTTTTGACTTTTTTAGCCTGAGATTTTTTTGGTTATTTGGTATTCTTATTTGGCTTTTTAGCTTTGTTTTGACAATTTTTTTTTTATCCTTTTGTGATTTTTGACTTTTTTTTGTCCTTTTGAAATTTTTTAGCTCAACTCAAAAACCAAACGACCCCTAAGTTTAAGGGCTAAAATATTTGGCTGAACTTGGTGTCCTAACGGAGAATGCAACTCGAAACTAATACCTTAAGGTCCCGTTTGTTTTTAAAAATTAAATGGAATGGGTTAATAGTAAAGAAATTAATAGTGATGATATTAAGTAAAATTGTATTTGTTTTGATGATAATTGTTAGTGTAGGGATTGTTAAATTATTTTTAGGATAAACTACCAATAGGTCCTAATAGTTTGCCTTAATTCCTATCAAGTCTTATTAAAAATAAGTCTTGGTAAAATTGTCGCTAAAAATAATTTTTAATAAATAAAAAATATAAAAACATTAAACATTAATGTTTAAAAAAAAATACCCAACATCTAAAAAGTAAAAAAAATAAAAAAATTTCAGAAAAAATAAAACAAAAACTTTTACTTAACAAAAAATAAAAAAAATTAAACATTAATGTTCCAAAAAAAAAATATCCAACATGTAAAAAATTAAAAAAATAAATAAATAAAAATCCGGCGGATTAATTTATAACACCAAGTCTCACGAGCCTATCTTAATCCCCTCCTCAAGGGAATTTGTAATTCAGAGGGGGATTACGAATCTCTTCTCTATTTTTCAAAATAAACATGATATTAGTAGGTATCATCTCACTATAAATCTCAATTTCCTTTCTACAATCTAAAACAAACGAGACCTAAATCTAATGAAAAATGTTCTTGCCATTTAAACGACACATAATGTGAGGACCTTTTTCCTAGTTACTAAAAAATCTAACCCAAATGCCTACGAAGTCATTGAGCAAAATAATAATGATTCAGTTATGGTGTTTCATGTATCATATTTTAGTCTAATAATGGTATGGCATATAGCCCCATTTGGGGCTTAAATTTTCAATCAAAAAATTAAAAAGTTATTTTAAATTGTTATATTATTTTTTATTTTATTTTTACATATATTTTTGTTAAAAAATTAATTAAAATAATCAATTCTAAACGGGTGGTTGTAATTTGCGATTGAATTTGAATATTATTAGATGTCACATTCCATGGCACTACTTTAATTTGATTGGCTCATGCAACATGTCATTAGTATCGAGCATCAAGTTGCAAACACCCACCGAATTCCACCAATTGGAATCCAAGAATTGATATTTAGACCATCTATATTAAAAAAAAATATCTGATTGATTTTAGAATGAGTTATTTTAGTAATTTTTTAATTAAAATATGAAGTGAGAAAAATTAGTATGTTTGTAATTATTTTTGAACTATTTATAAAAAAATGTAAAAAAAAATACAGTTAAAATAAAATCTTTGACTTTTTGACTTTTTTTCATTTATTTATCGTTTGGGATGTGGGTTGACTTTTTAATTTTTTGACTTTTTTATTAGTTTAGTCCGGGGCTAAAAAGTTTCGTTTGAAATAGACTTTTTGGCCCTTTTGACTTTTGTGAGAGAAAAAATAAAATGATTATGAGTTGGATGTGATATTTTGTCCTAATGGTTAAAATAACTTATTTTGTCTTATATGACTGGTTTAGCCCTAATGGGACATCCCAAACGAGTACTTTAACTGTTATTGTAACTTCCCAAACTTGTCTTTAATTTCCCTTAATTTTAATTTAAAAAAAAAAGTATTATCAACTCTCAAATATATGCTATATTATTCCTATTAACTTAAACAAAATTGTTCAACCATAACATTTTAATCCAAAATTTTATTTTTATATGTCAAGGCAATGCCTTTGATAAAATTCATCATTTCTATTCCATCATTTTTGTATAGTTAATTAAAAAGAACTTGTTTTCAATTTATTACCTTATAAATTAAAGGTCCTATGTAGGGGATCTATTTCCCTTCTAATCTCAATATATTTTTAATAGACTAATAGGTCCATAGTTTTTTAAGTTTTGTACTCGGAGGTCCCGTTTTTTATTTTCTTACTTTTTAAATGGTTGCATTGCCCTTTGTTTTGAGATATATATACGCGAAAAATCAAATATTTGCCTCTGCGATCTAGATTTCTCTTCGTTATGGCGATCTCTTTGTGTTGTGAGGTCGATCTCGTTGTGGTATGAGGTGGATCTGGTTATGTGATCTGAATCTCTGTGTATAGGCGATCTCTGCGTACGCTCTCTCTCT